GTGTGTGTCTACACACACATACTCAGGGCCGGGTTAAGACTTTCGTAGGCCTAAGGCACCTCCAAGATATGGGGCCCCATTTGACAGCATATTCACTAATAACACAAGCTAGTACCTAATTATAAAATGTGATGTCGAAAGAATAAGATTCAGTGATGTTTGCCATGAATTGAGTAAAAGAAAATGGGTTAGATCAGCTGTTCTTGTACAATACAGAAATAGTTTTGTTTACAAGAAGCACAGCTAGCTAGTGGACACTAATAGGATTAAGTAATAAATAAATGGAAATAAAGTATCTCAGTATCAATTTAATAATAACCTGTAGAAAAAGGGGAAGAAAAGTTCTCGTTTTTTTCTTCGTAGGCCCCCAATATCTCGTAGGCCCTAGGCACTGTGCCTAATGGATAATCCGGGCCTGCACATACTGTATATACAATATAATACAGGTAAAGGAAATTATTGTCTCTAGAACAAATGGCTCCCTGTCCCGGCCGCAAAAATGCCAGCAACTTTAAAATTACCCTTAGTTATTCTTGGGTACAGCCAGGGTGTCATCTGCGAATAATAGAGGACCACGAAATAAAAATCAGCGAATTATCTGGGCGTACTGACGTCTAATGGGAAGACCAAGCCCCTGAAGGAAAGGTGGAGGGTAAGAGAGAAGGCCAGGTGCTAATGGACACAAGAAGATCAAAGGAAATGTCCACTGTCATGACCACGTTACCTCTAGGTATATGGTGTCTCCCCACACCATACCCTCCACCCACACAACTCTTTTACTATGGCTAAAGAAAAACATATATTATTAGTTTGCCACAGACATTACAAGTCGTTGTTTGGGTCATGTAACGAGTAATGATTTTTGTTTTTTTCAATTGTATTGGAGTAAAAGTATTAGAAAATCTTACTTAAGTAAAATTAAAAGTACAAATTATTTTTAGTAAATACCCAAAATGTTACTTGCGTACAGTAGTGTGCTCAAGTAAATTTATTTAGTTACTTTACAACTCTGGATATACGGGTACTCCTTGACTTACGACCTACTCGACATACGACCACCCGGACATATGACCGCCGCAGTCGTAAATTTTTTTTTCAAATTAAGTAGGTATTTTCCAGTACCGAAACGTTTCCGTCCCGTACGAGAGTGTGGAGTGGGCTGGGCCGCCTAGTGGTGTACAGCGTCCACACCGTAGCGCGCTCAGTTGGTGTTTGGCCGTCGTTGTTGTCGGTAGTGATCGAGCTGTGTACCGACAATATTTTTGGTTCTAATTCCCTTTAAAATGACTGGCAAGCGTACAAGTGAGAGTTCTGGTGGTGCTCAGAAAAAACAAATGGCAGAGGCATTGCTACTATTAATAAGGGGATGCAAATGTTTGACGAAATGGATCAAAATATTGAACATTTTGCAAAAGTTGACAGAATGGTCCAAGATGCACTTGATTGCTACAGGGAGATTTACAATGAAAAGAAAAGGCAAACTGTGCAGTCTAAATTGGACATCTATTTTAAGAAGTCCCCCATTGCTGTCTCCTCATGCCCCACCAGTGCTGCCTCTTCACTCCCTAAAGATGATCCAATCCCTTCAACCAGCAAGTTTCCCCTGTACATAAACCTGTCTGAAGAAAGTAACATTGATGACCCACCCAGCCCTGTCTCCTCCTCTGCTTCACCCAGTTAATGTTGTCTCCAGGTTTAATTAGAAACTCATGGGGCCCTGTGTGTATTCAACTGACTACATTAAAGGTAAGTGCACAGTCACACTGTATCTATTCTTCATTATTGATTACTTTTACTGCACTGTATTTCATTTTATATTTTATATGTATTATTTTTTGCATTTTCGACTTATGACCAATTTGACTTTCTACCTGGATTTGGGTTCCTAACCCCGTCGTAAGTCGGGGACTGCCTGTATTGTATACTCGACCCTTGACTAACTATCTCTCTCTCTCTCTCACCCACACACACAAACACACTACTACTACTACTACTTTGCTGTCACTCAGAATCGAGTATGACGATCATTCAGCTATGATACAATGATATGAGTTATTAGGGATGTCACCTTCACTGGTGAGCTCTGAGGTGACTAAAGAGGCCGATAAGGGACCCACAAGGTTGTTCACAGATGTGTACATGTGGAGGGCTACATCTAGTGCAGGAGGGGCGGCGGCAGTCTTTCCGGCGTTGGCGCTTGTCTGCCTCGGTATGCAGTAGGCTACTCAAGTATTGACACCTTCTTGTGTGGTGCTCCTCCAAGCGTTACGGTGTGGAGTAATTGTCTCCCAGGAGAGGGGGTCAATTTGGCACTTTTTCAGGTTTGTGTTACGAGTGAGAGTTCAATGGTTGCGGATTCTCAACATGAAAGTCTTTTTGTTTGTGGTGTCATTTCTGCCCACCTCTGCTCGCTTAGTTTTATCTCCCAAGAGCCGGGTGATGGCAGTATTGGGCTGGCAGTCATAAGTTAAGTATTTCCTTTCCTATTGTACAGTATATTTCTAGTAGTATAACGTGTGAACCTTGCTCGACTTTTAGAACACCAAGTATTATTTGTGAGATTGTTGTTAGTCATATTTTAGAATTCCACGGAAAATAACTTACTTATTTATGAGGTACGTGTGGTGGATGGAACATAGATTATGTTGGTGAAAGTTTTCAAGTGCCTTGAGGTGCCTCTTGTATGTGACCCATGTCTCGCTGCCATATAGCAGGGTGGGGAGGACCACTGCTCGATATACATGCAGCTTACTAGATAATCTCGGCTCCCTACAGCTGAAGACACGGTTTCGGAGTCTTCCAAAGGCTTGAGATGCACATCTGATCCAATGCTGAATCTCTTCATCGACGTCTGCGGTGGTGGACAGGTGGGAGCCGAGATACCGAAAGTGGGTAACATTAGAGAGGGTAGTACCGTTAAGCTGGATGGATGGTGGAGGTGTGTCTGAACCAGGAGCAGGTTGAAAGAGAATCTGAGTCTTACATACATTCACTTCAAGGCCGAAGTGTGCATACGCATCTGCGTAGATGTTCGGGATCTCCTGTACGTCGCGTTCAGTGTGAGCAACAAGGGTGAGGTCGTCTGCATGCTGAAATTCAGTAGTGGAAGCTGCCGCCACCTTTGTTCCTGCCTGGAATCGTCTTATGTTGAAAAGACCCCGCCAGGTAAATTGCCACTGGCACGAGTAAGGAAGGCAGCCAAGAAAATGGAAGTGTGTGTTGGTGCCAGTACACATCCTTGTTTAACCCCTGTTTGGATGGGGAAGAACTCTGACTGGGTGCCGTTGTGCAGGACACTGCTGTTCATGCCATCGTGGAGTTGCCTCACCCTACCTCAACCTGACATTGTATCAGGTTCAGGTCAGGTCTTCCCTCAAAATACTTCATCATTTGTCTTTATTCAAGACATCTTCAGGTCATGAGACCCACTAATCCTTCATCCAAAACAGAGTGTCCTGACATTCCATCCTTGTAAATTCAGTTGCCTCTGATGATGACTTGAATAAAGATGAAACATAAGGTACTCCAGTGTATACTTAGTTGACCAAGAGCTCGATTCAGCGGAAATTTCAATTTAACCAACAGCAGAGATTAGAATTAGTTTGTTAATACTATATAAGGTATTTCTCAACCACAGTTGGATGGTTTGAATATTTCTCAGATCTATCCTTACAAAATGGATAATGCTGCATAGCCTCCTTACTTATCTTCATTTATGCATGAGGATGTTGGTTCACGTAGAGTCGAGTCATTTATTACACATGACCAACTGGCGTGGCTGCCATGTGTTGTCTCCGGCAATCACTCACACGAAGTGAGCAAGGATACCCGAGGTGCCATCGTAACTCTCCACAATGACGGTCTTAGCAAAATGGACTGAATGTGCAGAGACAAATGGTGGCAAGGTGGACTGTTATGTCAATGCCACATAAATGCTGCTGTGGGTGCACACACTATTACATACCTGTAGTGTGCACATGTATAGTTCACAATGGTTTTTCTAGCCACTAACATTTCCTGAAGTCATTTGGAAGAATTCTTAAAAGGTGTGATGGTTAAATGAAATCCAGGAAAATGAGAATCATATTACACATAGCAAGTATTAATGTGCACTGTCATATCATTCATGTGTGTGTGTGTGTGTGTGTGTGTGTGTGTGTGTGTGTGTGTGTGTGTGTGTGTGTGTGTTGGAGATAGAGATAAGATAAAAGACACTGAAGAATAAGGTCATCAAGTTATGACGTTTATACTCACCAAATATGTCCGTTTTAACTGTGGTTTGGAGTGTGACTCTTACATTGGCACACAATTGAAATAAATATTAATTGTATCCAACAATCACCTACTTAAGGTGTACAAAAAACATGTTTTACAATGAAGAGTGGTATGGTGGGTGTGTGTGTGTGTGTGTGTGTGTGTGTGTGTGTGTGTGTGTGTGTGTGTGTATGAGGGTGCATCCACGTGTGACAAACACACGTGTTGGCAACCGTGTTAAAAATAATGTCGTGAACACTGCTGACACGTTAGCAACACTAGGGTCTTGTATGTTGTTTTGATAACAATGCTGAGGACATGTTTCAGTGTAGTATGTATGTGATCACAACTACTGTACTGTACACTGAGGAGGACCTCACTGTACAGTATTGTTCAAGTTTGTGTCTTTTAATGTACATTTGATTTACATTAGATCTAGTATGAAAATATCTTATTGTTACATAGTTGTTACTGGTGACTTGGGGAGCTTCTTTCCTTAAGTGTGAAGAGCTTGGTGTCTGTCACAACAGAGTAGCAACAATAAGGGCTCTCAATACTCTGTAGTTTGCACCATAAGTATTAAACTTGAAACAAATCGACTCATTCCAACACTGCCAATTTGTTCCCATAAGCCAGCATGGAGTTTATTGTTAGCATGAAGAAATGTATTAGTACTGTACAGTAGAGCTCTCTAACCCTATAAGAACCTTTCCCACAGTTTACATTACAAAATATTGCAGGCTAACCTCGTTCATCTGACCAGTTCCATAACCACCAAAATTTTGTAGGATCCTGAACCGCCTGAACACTGTGATATTCATTTCTCTGTCAAGGTGCGGGGTGAACTGTACATCAGTCTGCAGATACATACACAAAAATTACTAGTTTAATCTTAATTACAATATCTCTCCAAATAATATAGACTAATAAATGTCTTTACTGGACACAGTTAATACAAACTATACAGACACATTAAAACAAAACTTTACAAACATTAAGTTAAAAAATGGAGGAGTGATCTTTAAATCCCATTTTATGGCCAAGTCCAAAACTAACTGTCTTGTGTACCTCAGTCAATGACTCAGGGAACCTTCACCATAACTAACTGTCTTGTGTACCTCAGTCAATGACTCAGGGAACCTTCACCATAACTAACTGTCTTGTGTACCTCAGTCAATGACTCAGGGAACCTTCACCACAACTAACTGTCTTGTGTACCTCAGTCAATGACTCAGTGAACCTTCACCATAACTAACTGTCTTGTGTACCTCAGTCAATGACTCAGGGAACCTTCACCATAACTAACTGTCTTGTGTACCTCAGTCAATGACTCAGGGAACCTTCACCATAACTAACTGTCTTGTGTACTCAGTCAATGACTCAGTGAACCTTCACCATAACTAACTGTCTTGTGTATCTCAGTCAATGACTCAGTGAACCTTCACATAACTAACTGTCTTGTGTACCTCAGTCAATGACTCAGTGAACCTTCACCATAACTAACTGTCTTGTGTACCTCAGTCAATGACTCAGGGAACCTTCACCATAACTAACTATCTTGTGTACCTCAGTCAATGACTCAGTGAACCTTCACCATAACTAACTGTCTTGTGTACCTCAGTCAATGACTCAGTGAACCTTCACCATAACTAACTGTCTTGTGTACCTCAGTCAATGACTCAGTGAACCTTCACCATAACTAACTGTCTTGTGTACCTCAGTCAATGACTCAGGGAACCTTCACCATAACTAACTGTCTTGTGTACCTCAGTCAATGACTCAGTGAACCTTCACCATAACTAACTGTCTTGTGTACCT